CAAAGGAAAGGACTTTTGGGCTCTCAAATAAATATTTGTTTTTTAATTCTTTCTCAAAGACTGTCCAGAGAACAGCAGCTGCATGGGTTATCCCTTTTTTCCCCTTCACAAGAATTTGTATGAGGTACATTTGCCTAAGAGATGATGGATGATTTGTTTATAACCATCCAGCAAATTTCATGTAAATTTAAATCCATACCTCTCAGGTTGGGCAGATCACTATTGTTCAACTGGTCCAGGAGCAGTACTGGTGGTCAGAATGTTAAGGTCGTGTTAAGATGACTGAGCAAGTTGTGCTGGTGGCTAGTGGGAAATGTCTGTTCTGATGGCTTTGCATTCCATTCCCTCTTGCATTAAATGGATTCTTCTTTTAGAGGTAACCAAAAATGTTCTTTCCATCCATTTAATCCCCTTCTGGACTAGGGACAGGCTGAATAGAAATTTATAAGAATATCTATGCTGGCTCAGATCAAAAGCTCATCATGAACCGACCAGCAGTTTCTTTCCACAGTGGCCCCTGGGAAGCTCACATGAATAGAACAGGCTTCCCAGGGGCCATTGTGGAAAGAGATCCTCTACTTAATGGAAGCATTATATAGCCATCATGACTAGTAGTCATTATCTAAAGCAGGAGTCCTCAAATTATGGCCCACGGGGCACATCCGGCCCACCTTGTCTTTTTATCTGGCCTGGTGGCTGATCATTGGTGATACAGTGGTTGCTCGTGCAAGAAGGAGAATCTCCTTCTCGTGCGACTCTCCCGCAGCCATCGGAGGAGGAAAGCTCGCAGGATTATAACACTGACGCCATGCCATGCACTGTCCTCCTCTGACGGCTAAGGAGGGTCATGCTCCTGCTGCTGCCCATGAGGAGAAGGAAAGAAGAAGACAGAAGAGAAGGGAGAACAGCAGGTATGTGTGTTTAGGGGAGAAGAGGGGGCCCTCACCTTCCTGCAGCTGCGTGACTCTGCAATGCAGAGTCTGCAAGGGGGGGAATGTCCACTGTTGCACCACTGCCTCATTGACCTCTGCCCCCCGCTGAATGCCTTCTTTCTGTTGCCAAAGATATGTGTCCAGAGAAGGCCGATTTATTTAGTACAGTGAGTCTTTCAGGACCTATAATTGCATGAAGGATTGAAGAAATGGGGGACAATTTGCATCAACATTTGCAAAACTCCTCAAAAAAAACTTTGCTATTTTTCGTTTTTGGTTTATGTATAAATAGGCTTTCCTCTGTTTCGCACACAATTCCATCACCGCCCAGCTGAATAGGATTTTCTAGCCAATATGCATTTGTGTGTTTCTTTATTCTTGGGTGAATGCTTTTAAGTGTTGGCTGTTAAACAGATATATCAGCAAAAGTTGTACTAATATTCTCTTCATTGAATTACCAGAACAGGATTTCAAGTTAGGCCAATTTTGGAAACTAGTAGAAACGAATTTCTTTGTGTTGAATTTGTGATGTAATATCTACTACTTTATTATTGCATCCAAAATCAAGCCTTTGTATACCTCTTAAAAATTTAATGTATTGCAATTTTAGACAGCAAAAAAGGTAGTACATTCTTATTTTTTAAACCCACTTTTGCCATCAAAATAAAATTCCATCCTCCATTTAATCACTTATTAACATTATAATCATTAATAACTTTCCATGTAAGAATTTCCCCCCCACCCTTATAAAGATAACAAAAAAGGACCCGCGTCCTCTTTTTTAAACTTGATCCATCTGTTCATATTTTGTTTCAAACTATAGTCTCCCTCCCCCAACAGTCTGAGGGACAATGAACTGGGCCCCAGTTTAAAAAGTTTGAGAACCCCTGATGTAAAGCCTTGGCTTCTTTAAACCTGTGTCCCTGGGCATTCAAAAGTTCCTTCCTACCTGAGGTACTAAAACAATTCTGCTCAACCAGGCTGGTTATTGGTTGTCCTTCACAGGAAGAGCTAGAATGGTTTCCTCTTCCATGCTGGGCAATGGTTATCTTCATTGTCTTTGAGATGTTCATTCTTTTCTCCTGATTTCTCTCTGACAAGTGCCTACAGCTCAACTGTGACAATCTGTGTGCATAATGGGGGCAAAGCTAGGGCTAGGATCGGCTTCCCTGTCCCGATCACCCCAGTATATGACACCATGATTGGGTTTTCCTCTTCCACCTTTTTGAAGTGAAATTCAGACACTTCCTATTTGGCTCTAAAAGCACCATACCACAAGCAGGGGAAATTCCCGGGCATGTGTAACCTTAGAATGGAAGGAAGAACCCATCAGTGTTCGCAAGACCTCCTCCTGACAATTAAAGCTATCGCTGGTTGCGGTACAGCTGTTCCCTGGAGTTGTTGTGTTCAGAAATCAGTGTTTCCTCTTACAGCAAAGCCGGGATTTCTCAGCAGTTTTTCTTGATTAAGCAAAAATAAACCAAAACCAAGAATGACTGTGTAAAAATGTTGGTACTGACACTGCAGTTGTGCATAAACCAAAACCAAGAATGACTGTGTAAAGATGTTGGTCCTGACACTGCAGTTGTGCAATATGGGTATCTTTGAGGTTGTATAGACTTGACTTACAGACTTTTTGACTTGAGAACCGCCTTCCAATACGGATTAAGTTCTCAAGTCAAGACCCCACTGCATGGGTATCTTTGAGGTTGTATGAGAACTGTACATGTTTTGTGGAGACAAAAGCAGGTTCAAGGTGGTAGAAATTTTAAAGGGGACTTTTTTTTGGGGGGGGGAGATGTTTAAAAGCTAGAATTTCTATAGAGATAGGGGGGGTATCTTCATGATGGTACAGTTGGTAGCCATAGTCTACCGTCTTTCTCCTCACGTCAGACCTTGAAACAGAATGGTAAGCACCACCGTTTGTACTGGGCGTCGTAAGGGCACTTCCAAGCCATTTGCTTCATAAATGTGACATCTGTCTTCACTCTTATAGAAGTGGCTGCAGAAACCACAGGTTGAGACAGAAAGTTCTGGAAGTGTAACTACATGGTACATGGTAACATGTGCAGAGTGTGGAATGTTAAGTTTAAATATTAATTTGTTGTTAACTGTTAGGAACTGGAAAATGAACTTGTTACTGTTAGTGTTAAAAAAGTTGAACCACTTAACTCACTGGATTAGCAGTATTAACTTGTTACTGAGATGGTTACTTCTGAAATAGATACACTACTGGCATGTACAGGGTTCCTCCTGAGCCAGAATTGTACCTTTGCCACTGAATCCCTCAGAAATGCTATTTTTTGTGATTGCAAAATTGCTGTCCCCAATCTGGCACTCTCCATTCTCCCAGATCCCATAGCACAAGAGTAGCCACGGATGGTGGTTCATAGAAATACAGATTACTGGAGTTGGAAGGGGCCTATAAACAGAACAGAGCCACTGAGTCCAACTCTCTGCTCAAGGCAGGAATCCAGGTTGAAGCAGATCTGACAGATGGTCGTCCAGTAAGGCTTAGTAAGGTTGAGGATATGTGCCCTCGCTCAGGATCTCATCTTCCTACTAGCATGGGAAGCTCCACTTACACGGAAAAAATTAGCTTGACACTTTCTAATGCACTTCAGCAGAACACAATGGCAACATGCCCTCTAATTTTCAGCGCTCCACCTCTCTTGCATGTGACTTCAACCCTATGTGTGCATGCGACTCCGCCCCACCCCCCAATGTGCAGGGTTCTGTTGGGACTGGAACCAAAGGGGTTGAATGTGATTGTTGCACAGAGGAGGAAGAAAGCTGCACAGCGGGAGGTGGAGTTCCACGAATGTGTGCACGCACATAGCTTACAGAGAATCTTGACAGCTCAGGCTAAAAGTGTGGTCTTATCAAAAGGCTGCACTGCTTCCCACAGCCGTGCTGCCCCCTAGGCTATACAGCTCATAAGGACCAACTTCTGTTCCCAACTATGGAAGTCCTGATCTTGTTGGTAAAGTTCTGCCCATTCATTGGCTAGGCATTGGGCTTCTGGGAGTTGTAGTTCATAAACATCCAAAGTGCCAAATGTAGGATTGACTTGAATACTGTTAATTTCCATGGAGAAGCGTATGGGTATCCTCATTCTTGATGAGGAAGGCAGAGTGTGGACCCACAGATGTAGCTCAAATAACCATTTTAATGAATAGAACATGTGATAGCATTTTTTTTAAAGCACTAGATGAATTGATACCCTTTCCCTTGATTTTGTGTGGAAATGATGAATTAAATGCTAATGGGTCAGCACATTATTGCCAAGCTCCGAGTGCAAGATACTGTGTTCTGACTCTGTTTTAGATCACACCACATTGGGAGGGAGGGATGTGGAGCTGAGAAGTTAAAGACAGGACTTTAGCTTTTTTCCACCTTGTCATTTTCCATCTCCCAGTGGCTGATCCTGTCCCCGAGGCTTAGAACACATTTATGAGGGCAAACTCCTATTTGGAAGCTGTAGGGCACGAAGTTGGCAAAGTGACACATTCAGAACAGAAAAGCTGCAGGCAGGGAAGAGGTCAGGACCACAAGGAACGCCTTCTATCCTGGGTCCTTCTAGCCCAGGACTGCTGACTCTGACTGGCAGCACCTCCCCAGGCAGGATGCTTTCCTAGCCTGAGTGGTCTCCCTTCCGACCCTGCTTAGCTTCCACTATCAGACAGAATTAGGAGAGTTCGGTATGGGGGATGGTAACCAGAGCATGGAAGAGTTACTTTGGGCCCCTGCTGTCTAGAGGATTCTGGCAACTGTCCTTCAAAAAAGTAATTTTTCTCTTTTTCGAGTTAAACACTTCTCCCTCCCCTCAGCCACTTCTCTGCTTGTGTTTCCTCTTCCTGAACCATGAGGGACCTGTTTCCCGTTTTAGGATTTAACATCCCATACAGTTGTTTCTGCTCCCCGCTCCCGATCAAGAGCTGAAGAAGAATTATATAGGGTAATAATAATAATGAGAAGAATATCTTATATATCTTTGGGCCAGATGTTGACTTCAGTGCCATTGCTTCTTCCCACGGCACCCCCACTGTTTCCCCGCATGCCCAAATGTTAAGACTTCTTCCCTTTCCCTTTCCCTTTGCTCTTCTTCCCTTTCCCAGCCTCTTCCGCTGCCTTCTTTTTCTCTTCCTTGAGCTGCTTGTACCGCCACTGAGGCAGCTCAAGCGTGTTCTTGTTCTTGTCCTTGGACCGCCGCGGCTTCTCCTTGGGCGCCGACTGGTGAGGTGACTTGGTCAGTTCAATTTTAGGGATTCCTGCGGGGAAGACGCTGTTGCGGCGCATACGGAGTGGCAAGGAGAGGAACTTCACGAGGGTGCTGGGTGGCTGGTATGGCACCAGAACCCGGGTCGGTGTCATGAGCTGGCTGTTGCAGGAGGAGGCACTGGCCATGGATTTGGCATCAGAATCCGGTGTGTATTCATTGAGGATCTCTGGCACCGAGAGTCTCGGCTTGCCCACTTCCGGAGGGCTGTCAGGACAGACTGTTTGGCAAGCAGTGGTCACAAATGGACTGGCCAAGCAGGTGGTCATGCGCACCATGTGATCCATCACACCATCTGGTTCTGGGTCATGTGGGAAATTGATGGTGAAGGTGGAGCAGATTTTGGTGGAGATGCGTTGGACTCTGGAGGCACCTAATGTTTGGGCCACCAGTTCAGGCAAAGCGGGCCATTCGGGCAAGTACTTGGTCGAGAACTGTTCAGCGCGCGGGCGCTCCAGGAGGGTCCGGATCCGGACGATGGTCTCAAAGCGCCCTGTCAGGGCTGCCCATTCTCGTGCGGTCTTTCCTTTTACTGGGTCCACAGCAGTCAGGTCAGCTCCTAAGAGAAACATCAAGTTGTTCAAAGCCCAGTCTTGTATGCCATTCATTTGGTTTAAAAATAGCAGCCACAGATGTGACAGCCTGGTTCGCCCTTAATAAGCCCAGGTTCTTTTTTTTTAACCTCATTTTGAAATTTGCCCAATGGTGGTTGGGTTGACAGCAGCATTTTGGAAGGACATCAAAACATGGCCAAAGCAGCTGGCAGATTCTTAGGGTGAATCAGTTTGTGCTGTTTTAGGGAAGGGAGGATGGAGAGGAAGGGGCATTTGAGGGTAGCAAGATTTTATCTTCCCTTCATTTCATTTTTACAGTTTAAAAATCAGTGGCAATTCCGGTGTGCCACAATCAGCAGGAACTCAAAAGATTGCAGCACCTACATGCTGTGGTGGGTAATGTGCTCAAGTTCCAGGTTCAAGTCCCCAGTAAGCCCTGAAAATTTTTTGGACAACATTGGGTCAGTCATGCTCTCTCTATCACACAAACATAAACTCTGCCTGACCTACCATTGCTTTTTTAAAAGGGCTGTCTTTAACGGATTGGTAGTTGTTTTGAAGCTGAGAAGTCGAGAGCCATTGCCACCACCTTGCACTTACTGCACAAAAGATGGGGAAGAAGTGTAACAGAGAGAACTCTAGGCAGGGACTTCCAGAGCTCTAAATGGTACAGCAGCTTCAAGTTGTTAAAAAAAAGTAAGAAGGGACAGAGGAAAGAGAGCTGCCTGTCACATAGGCATTACTAAGACATGAAGGAGAGCATATCCACAGAAGGGTGAACCCGAACTCCTCCCTGCCCAACCCCCCCCCCCCCCCGTCCACCCACACCCATGAATTACAACTGTTCTGGTTATAAATGATGAGTACTTGCGTTCAGGTTTGAGAGGCAAAGGAAACGGAGCATGGTGAGGTTTGAGTCACAGAGCCATGGCTACCTCCATTGTTTTAGTTTTGCAGCCCATCTAGTCAATTCCCAATGGGTTCAGAATCCTGATTTTTGGGCTGGGGATACCCAAGGTGGCACTTTCTTCATTATACTGGCCCATAGGCGAGGGAATGATGTCATAGAGCAACCATCCCTGCTCTGGGGCTCTGCAGCTGAGTTGATTTTTTTAAAATCCTACCCAACAGGGCTGTTGACCATGTTGCTGGAAGCTGTCAGCAGTCACACCTGGAGACAGCTGAGTTTTGATGGCTGGAACGCAGCAGCTCCTTAAGCCTTCCTAATGTGGTGTCAGCAGAAGGATTCCCTCTGTGCTGATAATCACTTTTGTGCAACATGTGATTTTCACGTGGCAAAGAAGAGCTTAAAGTCTACCCAGAAGTGGTCTTGATCCTGATCAGCTCTCCCACTCCACTCAATATGCACTTCCATATTTAGTGTCATGTGTAGTTTGGCCTGTTGGTTTCTTCTGGTTGACAGTGTAGCAGCTGCTGGATGTGGTGATGATGATAGAGAGACTTAAGGACTGTTCTGCTCCAAAGTTGCCAGCAGATGTCAGTAGAAACAAATTTAAAAAAAACATGTACTGTGTATGGAGTTAAATAAAGACAGGAAGACTTGATTCCTGTAGTTGCCAGCAGATGTCAGTAGAAACAAATAAAAAAACATGTACTGTATGGAGTTAAATAAAGACAGGGAACCTTGATTCCTGCTATTAGCTTTGTTGTCAGATATTTGAGTTCAGGGATTCAGTCCAAACAGTACTAGGACTTGTCAGGTGTTGTGACAAACAATGTGAGTTATGCAATGTTGACAAAAGACGAAGGAAGAACCCTTTGATCATCTTGGGATCGTCTCTAAACTCAGGTATGGATGAGTCCTTGCTTTGTATTTCAGTGAATGCAGGCATGGTTTTTTAATGTTCTGGGCTCACCACAGGTTCTGTGAGTTCTCAAGCAGCAGTTTGTCTGTGTAGCCCCATTCTTTCTCCCCATTAGTTATAACACCACATTCCCCCATTGTGGCTGCTCTAGAAGGAAGAGTTTTGTTATGATCAGATTCTTTTGATCTACTCTTAGCACCCTTTATGTAGATGGGTTTGGAGAAGTGTCCCAATAATTGTTTCTTCACTTCCTCTCCAGTACTGCTTCCATGACAAATACGAAATCACCCTAGACACCCATGTTTCTGATGGGAGATATGCTTAAGAAGCAGTGGGATGTAAAGTCCTCATCCTTTAGACCTTGCTGGTTCCTGGGAGCATGAAATAGGTCCACACATCTACCTCTGGTGCTGTTCCTCACTCTGGAGAATGGGAGACTTGTCCTGAACATGTGCCTGAGAGCATGCCTGCATCTCCCACTCAAAGGAGCAGGAGAAAGTCATACACTGCTACTTCTGGGGCCTGTCTCCCATTTTGCCGTAGCTAGGAGCACCAGGAGAAGATGAAGCACAGCTTTCTTAATGTCTTAATGCCTTGGTTTCTTTGGTGGTTCTCCTCTTAGTAGGAAATAGGTCACCTCAACATCTCTTGACATTGATGGGCTCCATTTGGGGGGAAAAACTGATTCTTCACAGTTGCTCTACCATTCCCCCTGCTGGCTCCAGACTTACCTAGATTATTTAGTTGTTTGCTTCCCATATATCCTGCCTTTTCAAGATAGCATACCTGGCACTCCTTCCCCCTGCTTAATCCTCAAAACATCCCAGAATGACAGAGTTGTAGACTTGAAAAGGAACTTAAGGCTCCTCTTCACCAAGTCCTCACTGATGCTAGAAAACCACTGCTGGAGCAACCCTCACAAGTGGCCATCCAACCTCTGTTTAAAAACCTCCAAAAAAGGAGAAGCCACCACTCATTTGAGGCAGATTGTTTGCTATAAAGAAGTTCTTCCTAATAATCAATTGAAATGCCCTTTGAATCCCGTTGGTTCTGGTCCTTTCCTCTGGAGTAGCAGTAGATATGCTTGCTCCATCATTGATGTGACAGCTCTTCAGCTAGATGAAGGTGACTATCGTATGACATCCCAATGTTCTCCAAGCTGAACATACCCACCCCCCTCCTTCACTTGTTCCTCGTACAGTTTGGTTTCCTGCCCCTTTATTGTTTTTGCCATTCTTTTCTGGACGCATTTCGTATCTCCTAAGCTACCTCAGGCTGAAAGAGCATGATGGGGCCAAGATAGCCCAGGCAATTTCATGGCAGAATGAGACCTTAAATCTGGATCTCCTCATCCAAAACTATAACCGGTTCGGCTAGTGACATCAACACCTGATTTGCCTTTTGAAGAGTTAGCAGGAGACATTCTAAACATGATTAAATCCTGAACTGGCAAAAGCAGAACAGTATACCTGCCAGAAGCAAGGCTGTGACACAGTCGTTTCTTCCTTGTACTGCTGCCTTCATGAGCGCAGTCAGACCCCTGAAGTCTCTCATTTCGAGCTCTAATCCTGGGTAGTAGTTCAGAAGATAGTTCACAATAGTGATGTGCCCTTCGTGGCAAGAGAAAGAAGTGAAAACAGCATTAGGATCACAGCGCTTTCTTCAAATATAGGCATGTGCCCCAACAGCCTGGTAAAACTCTACATATGGTGGATTATAACCCCCATTATTCCAATGCTTGGTAGGGTGCTATAGTACAGTGGTCCCCAACCTTGGGCCTCCAGATGTTCCTGGACTTCAACTCCCAGAAATCCTGGCCAGCAGAATAGTATGCTGATTCCTCCTTCCCTTTGAAGCCTCTAGTATCACCTCTCCTACGATTCTGAAAGGGCCTTCACCCTGCTTGATAAGATTTCATATGTATGTGGAATGCATGAGGGAGGAATGTCAGTCTTGAATTGAATTTTTTTTTTCTGCCAAAATTTTGGGTATAGCTCTTCGGCAATCTATCAAATCACAGTACATGCAACCAAATTATAGAGCATTAAACCAAGTAAGCCCTTTTGAACATCACTAATTCATGAGGTTGCCATAAGTTTCAAGTAGCTTAATGACACATGATAACAGGAAACAGATACATAAATAGAAAGGAAAGAAAGTGTGAACTATAACATATCTGAAGGTTGGGAATGCCAAAAGAGACCTGAATTCATTGATGCATCTAATATATTGAGTTCAGTACGTTATCAGATTTGGTCTTTGCTGTGACAATACAGTATGGTTCAGATTCTGACTGAGGCAAGAAGAGACTCTGATCCCAAGATGTAAAAGTTATACTGTGCACTTTATTCCAAATTAAAAGCCTGTTTTGGCTTAGCCTTTTCAGCCTTCTTCAAGGGCATGAATATTGCACTTTTGTTAGCTATACAGTATTTAGAGAGACTTTCTGTTTATTAGGCCTGTGTCCAATTCCTTTTGAATGAGTAATACTAGCTGAAAGGATCTGATGTGTCACTTAAAATACTTGCCTAAGTATACCTACGGTATATGACTTTTGCTACTAACCCAGTTCTGGATTTTAGAGATCTCTTTCCTAATCTGGGCTACTCATTGGCCAAAATCCAGTTGCTTAGCATAGTAAATTTCATTAGAGTACTCCCACTGAATCAGTGGGGATTTGATGAGTTTGCAAATTTTATGGATTCAAATGGACCTACACTATTAGAAGTGTAGTTGCACTAGCTGCAACTTACTATACTAAAATAAGCCACAGAGAAAACCCGTTTGAATCAATAGAGCTTATGGAAGAGTTGACTCAAAATCTCCATTGATTCAATGGGTCCACACCAGTGTAAATCACTACTCTAAACAATAAGATTTTGGCCATTGATTGTTTGATGCCTGGGGCAGACCAGCAAGAGGCATCCCTTCCTACTCACGCCAATATTTACATTGCCCAAAGCATGCAAAGTTATTTTGGCACAGGGGGCAACCTTCCCCCCCCCAACATACCTCACAAGCATCTCTCCCCATCCTTGGCAGTAAAACTTCAACAATAAGCTGCTCCAAATGGGGCATTTTTTCCTCCCCACTTTATAGAGTTTAGGGCTACGTGGGAGAAAAGGAGCAGCTGAGGGGCACATAGTGTGATCTCTTTGTTTGGTGAAACAACCAGGGGCCACCTGGGGATCCTGACACCCACCTTCTCTTCTCTTCTCTTCTAAAGAAATTATTCTATGATTTATGACCCTTTGTATGGGAAATATTGCTACTCTAGCATTCCATTTTTGACAGGAACCTCTGATGGTGTCTAACTGTGTATAACTGATACACACATTCAGTGTTGCTGTACTTCAGATAAAAAACCAGGTAAGGCTTCCCTTGGGTAGGGAATGCTGTTAGTTCAAACACCTCACTTTTCTTCTGTCTCCATTTTTAATGGATCTGGGATGAACAGGCCAGAAGAGAGGACAGAAAGTTTCCATTCATTGAGAAGCCAAACCATCTGGCCTTATTGCTGTGAGAAAAGAATCTCTAAGGCTGCGGCTCACTAAGAATGGTTTCAGCTGAGGAGAACGGAGGGAGAGAGAAGTTACTTTTAAAGAAGTTACTCTCTGCTTTAAGAAGGTTCAAGGCAGTTCAACGCCTGAATGGAGCATCCCTTGAAGAGCCCACAAAGGGAATGATGGATATAAAACTGAGAGTGAAGTTACTTAGTTTAGCTTTAGCCTAGTACAGTACTGTGTTTTCCCCAAAATAAGACAGGGTCTCATATTAATTTTTGCTGCAAAAATGCATTAGGGCTTATTTTCAGGGGGTGTTTTCTTTTACAGTTGTGTCATCTTTTGGTTGCTGCACAATGCTGCACAATGGTGGAGGGTGGTGTTTCACTTAACTGGGGCTTATTTTGGGGGTAGGGCTTATATTACGAGCATCCTGAAAAATCATACTAGGTCTTACTTTCAGGTTAGGGCTTATTTTCAGGGAAACAGGGTATCTCTTAAAAAACTGCAATGTGTTATATATGTTATGTGCTCCTCACCAGTAGCCAAAAAGTAGCTGTATGACACATGTGGTTGTAACATTTACACTTCATATTTGTGTGTGCTTAAAGATATTTATCTAGAAAATGTATGAAGAGAAAGGTTTTGGAACTCAGTCTTCTGATATTTGGGCATTACCAAAAGAGGACCAAAATTTGTATATATTTACATAGAGTGTTGTGCTAATTTATGTTACAGAAATTAATTCAGACATAATTACTGGGACTGAAATAGATTCTGGTGGCCTGTGTGCCTGTAGCATTTGCTGTCTTGTGCTAGCTCTCTGCAGTCACTTCTTACATTCTTTACATTTGTAATTTACTCTTGGGAAAGATACTTGGACAATACAGTTAAATAGAGGATGCCTTCAAACAGAGTATATTTTTGTGGTAAAGTAGGCCACCTTATGTGATTTTCTTCTACATTTCTACCACTTCTCTGCATCTCATATTATTCCTGCAATTCCAATGATTTGAAATAATAAGCAGAGATTATTCAAGTCATCTTAAACCTTGGCCTTGGTGATATTGGCATAAATGTAACCAATAAGCTTTCCTTCTAAATTAACTAAAGGGTCTTCCAGATACAGCATTTATTTTGCCTTAATGACCAGCCTGTGTTCTGATCTTATCAGAAATGTTCCTGAATCCAAACAACATTCTTCTCGTATTGCTTTGTACTCCTCTCATTAGTTCTTGCACTTCTTTGTCCCTCCCCAAATCAAGGTGTAGTGTTGTTGTTTTTTTTGTACATAATTTGGCATAGTGGCACCTTCCAAGCATTAGTGCTACGATACTAGTCAACAAGCGTCAGAAGCACATATCAACTGTGATCAACAACAGTGGAAGTGTCCTGGATACCGGCAAGTGGGAAGTTGCTGGGAGCACATGAGTTCAAGCTGCAAGAATAGCGCCAGAAACACTTTAACACTAAACAGTTAACAGGACACGAGTTCTGATAAATCCCGTGACCTTCTGTCACCAAGTAATAAAGAAGAAGGTGAAACAACATGCCATTTGGAAGACCTCTAATTTGCAGGACTGGAATGTATTGATCGGGAGGTTTCAGAAGAATCATAGCGAATGGTGATACATATATTAAGAGTCTTTTGGAGTAGCTAAACTCCATTTATGTCACTGTCATCTTTTAGAACACAAAGATTTATCTAGTCTTACCTCTAGATGGATGGATATTCTTTATTCTTATAATCTGTACCACTAAGTTCTACAGGTCACTTGCACACCCCAATGACAAGTCATTATTTCATTTGGTACTTTTAAATTCTTGTCAGATGTCAAGTTTCATTTGAATCTTCCAAGTACTCCTGAAAACCCCCACTGCCCATTGATGGAAAACAAAATATTTCCTACCTGCCTGAGCTGCTATCATGAGTGCTGTGTTTCCATCATTATCTTGATGATTGACATCTAGGTAGGGGCATTTGCTGAGAACGGTGACAACGTCTACAAAGCCCTTGAAACATGCCACCAACAGACCATTCTGCATAGGAAAAAGAAACAGATTTAAGATTTAGCCACTTGGGCAAGTGATAGTCTTTCCCCATAAATTGGCTTATTACTACCCATCCACTCCTTCATGTAGTCTAGTCCTATACTGTAGTCCTGTATGTTGCACAAAGGAACATACTAGTAGGGTCAGCCCATGACTTTTTGGTTGTCTAAGATGAAGGGATGAAACTTTCAGCACTAACTCCACCACCACCACCCCCAGTCTATTTACAGAAGCTGGTAGTGCTGGTAAATGAACTTCACCTTTACATTGGTGGCATAATAGCATCCTCCACCCTTTCTGAGTTTAGGGGGCCCACGACAGGTTGTATGATAGACACTCTATCTTCTTAATAGCATGGCTGGCCCTAAATGCCAGTATAATGATATTATATTGCTGTCCAAGGATAGGAAACAAGTCAAAATTACATGGCTATGATTAAGAACCAGGTGGCTGGATAGCTCAGTGGTTAAAGTATCTGACTGCAGAGCCAGAGCTTGGGGGTTCAATTCCACACGGTGTCTCCTGTGGGTAGAGGCAGTCTGTGTAGCCTTGAGCAAGCTTCACAGACCCAGGGAGCCCTCAGAAGAAGGGAATAGTAAATACGTTCTGAGTACTGTCTACCTAGAAAACTCTTGAAAGAGTCTCTTTCCATTAGTTGAAACTGACTAGGTGGCACACTATATGTGCATGTAAAATATGTAGGGTTTTACCTGGAAGGCAGCTCTGTGTCCTGTTATAAGGCAACAGTTCCTCATCAAAGCTAATATTTGGACTAGAATAGCTCTGTTTTGGGTCTAAACTATATGTTGGAGCTAATGGTCATTAGAGATGAAATCATGTTAGTGTTTTACATATTGCTTCCCTGTCCAAGAAACCACTTGGAAAGGAAGAACATGTTTATGATTTGAAGACCAATAAAAACAAGCAAACAAAGAAGCAAACAAACAAGCCAGCTAATTTGCAAATCAGGTGAGATAAGAAAAGTTTCTGCTGTGGCCATCACACAGCCAGCTCTTAAGGAATTCAATTTATTCTCAAAGGCTTTCATGGCTGGGATCTGATGGTTGCTGTGGGTTTTTCAGGTTCTTTGGCCATGTTCTGAAGGAAGAACATGGCCAAAGAACAACACGGTCAAGAAGAACAACCTTCAGCACACGGCCAAAGAATCCGAAAAACCCACAACAACCATCTTAAGGAATTCCTTTTTTCTACTGATGGTTGCCTGTAACTTATGGTTAGGACCTCGATGTCTTCTGAACTGATGGAATATTTAGCACAGAATAGTAAAGGGAGCCCTGCAGGTAAGGCAGAAGTGAAGTGCCCAAAGCTGGACATTGACAGGAAGCCCAAATGTGAACTGGCCACCACTAATGGATTGGCGTGTAATGTTTTGGGGGGAACAGGAATTTAGGCTCTAGCCCTGGGAGAAGGTATCTCAGTTGTGAGTGGGAAAGAGGAGGAAGAGCAGCATTCAGGAGAGAAGGGCTAGGAAGAACATCCCCTTTCTCTCATGTATTAAGCTGAGCTATTGCTAGAATCAAGGAGACGGACTGGAGCATGGACCAGTGACTTTCTTCATATTACTAACTGGTTCACTCATGCTCCCAGATTTTCTTTATCTTGCCATCCATCCCTTTGGGTGGAATCTAGCCATAACTCCCCCAAGGAAGTTGATCTAGTTAGCCACCAATATACCAAACCAATTCAGTGATGATGGTGCAGCCTCTATGAGCACTGCTACCGTTATTGAATCCATTTCTGTACTGATTTCCATATCTATCGTGATGTTGAACGTGCTGGGTAGCTAGGATGATTTACCATTTCAGTCTATTACAGACAGCTATAAAAGAGGTAGTTTCTTGGACTTGAGAAGCGCAATTGGTCTGTATCTCTGTTCTAACTGGTGGCTGTATCCCATCTGAGCCGGCTGGATAGCTCAGTGAGATGAAGCAGCTGGGAGCCAGGGGTGGGGAGTTTTTCCACCACTGTTCTTCCCCAAAGAGATGCCAGGCTGTGTGACCTGTGTGACACAGCACCCCTAGAAGAAGGGAATGGTAGACCACTTCTGGATTCTCTATAGCTAGAAAATCCTGGATAGGATCCCCATTAGTTAGAAAGGACTTTAAGGCATGCAATTATTATTGTTATATCCCAAGGCCATTTCATCACTAGCTCTTGTATGAAAAATCAGGAGGTCCAATTACCCGTCCATTGATGTCCAGTTCCATGACTTCCTCCCTCGTCACCCCACTTTCAAGTTTCTCCTTTACTAGCCTGGCATCGTTCTTGATACAGCACCGGTAGAAAGTGAGCTCCAAGCCGTCGTTACTGGCAGACGGAGCATGCTCATAAACTGGATAGACAGAGTCATCAGAGAGGACGCTGCTGGTGTCTGACTCCTCCCTTTCATTCTCACTCTCTTCATTTTCATCCTCTTCCTCATAATGTAGCTCCGGATCTGACTCGTCTAGGGAGGGTGACGCACTTCGGTCCCCTTCCTTGCTGGCATCGGTCATCCAGCCCGTTCACAGCAAGCCACGTCGGCTGTTCTTTTGGCTGCCCATGATTTTTTCAGTGGCAAATGGCTTTTACTTTGTGCTCTAAGAAGCTCTCAGCTCCAGGCGGGGCATCTGCAAAACAAAGAAGAAGACTTGACTGCAGCCAACCATGAACCACTACAGAAAACAACTACTTCCCCTCCGCCTACCTCAATATGTGTGCGCGCATGCGTGTTCCATGCCATCAACCAAATTATAGTGATCATAAGGGGGGTTTCAATGTGACCTATGAACTGCTGGGGAGCTCACTGGTTTCAATCTCTTGTTGCAGAGCCAAAGGTTGGAAGTTCAATTCCTCACGGTGCCTCCTTGACAGGGCTTGGACTTCTATAGAGTTCCTTCCAGCTCTGCAGTTCTAAGATTATTATTATTATTATTTTTGGAGTGATATTGTCAGTTCCCCCATCATGAGTTTCCATGGGTGAGCAGGGATTTGAATCCAGGTCCATTTCTTTATCCACTGTACCACAATGGGTGCTATCTTGGTATGATTTTCTTCGAAATATTTTTTATGGATTTGAGAAGCTGTTATTAATATTTGTTAGTTGTTCCAGGACTAGGTAATCTGCTCAGTATCTGCTGAAGTCGTGGTACAGAAGTTGCATGAAAGCTTACTGTGAGCTTGTTAATGAAGAGACAGAAATAGCTTACAATTGTCTCTGAAGGACATGTTAAACGACATTACTGATTTCTTTCAGCTTTTGCTATAGACATGAGAATAGGATATACTGTAGGGTAAAGGAACTATAGAGGATATTTTAGGCAGACGTGGGTGATGGTGAGGACCACAAGGGCCTTGGTTCTTTTGACGTGCACCCTGTTCCAGCTTTTCATGGATGGTCTTGGTTCTGATACTCAAACTAGTCATTAACTCTATCTTAGGACTGACCCTTCTGTGCTGTATTTGAGCAATTTACATCGGCCCTTTGCCTTTTGTAGCAGCTGCTGTGGAAATATTCTGTTGTGAAGCTTGTCCTCAGTCTTGCCCAGACTTATACTTACATTTCAAGTTCGAGTGCTGCTACGTTTTCTGCCTCCTGTCTGATACCTCTAGTGCTAATAAACACTGGTGTCAGGGCCAAAAGAAGGCATTTTTGTTACTTGTGACAAAGCAATGGATGTGCTTGTACACCAGCCAAAGCCAAGGTAAGTTGCACCTAAAGCCAGCTGTGTTCTTTCCTGGAAGCATTTCTCACCTTCCCTGGCAGTAAAAACCCAATAAGGATAAATTCAGTTACTAACTATTTGTTGCCCTTTCACTGAAATGTTGATGCATGAGGTAACAACCTCACTTTACCTAATAGTAAAGCCAGCCCTGACGGTTGTGGTATTGGAATTAGACCTGAAACTTCACCAGGAAGACAACAACCTTGTTGCAGGAGACAGGGCTATGGGACAGATGTCTGAACGACAAGCAAATCTCCCTGATCCAAGAGGAGAAAGTGTGTTAGTTGTTCCAATGTTTACCTACCTCCAGCTAAGTGTAACTGGTTGTGCTGTTATCTGCCCTCATCTTTTTTTCAAATGGGTTGTCAGAAAACTTTCAACATCAATCAGAAGAAAGTGCAGGTGGACACAGCTTTAGGATGGAGTTTTAGTTACAACCTTGCATGCTGTGTGTAATTTGAGCGACTGGGCGTGACTTTTCTGTGCTGGGGTAATTGTCTGTCTATCTGGCATTAACGAGTTGTTCCTTCCAGCTTTTGAAATTCAAAGAGAGCCCTGCCTTTCTGCTGAGTGTTCTCTCTCTCTCTCTTTGTCAGTTTGTGGCAGCTGGGTTGCTTGTGTGTTTGTGTGTGTTCTTGATCTGTTATTTGTGCAGTAAAGAAAGCAGCATGCACAGTCTGTAATTTCAAACAACTGTTAAGTAAAGAAACATTTTTTATTCTTTCTCCTACCAGTGTCTCAGAGTGAGTTCTTGAGACTCTGAGTGCCAGTTAATGAGAAAGGGGTGGGCTCTGGGGAACTTGCAGCTATTCTCTTCTGTGGATTTCTGTACTTCTGTCTGTAGAAAAAAAATTTTAACCAGGAATTCAGAACTCTGCAACACTTTATGCAGTGGTCAGTCTAGCAGGCCTGCAAAGTGTAAGGCACGAATGCTCCCTCTTCCTGGCTGCCTCCCAAACACCCAAGGTGTCAGAAAAAAGTTCAAGCCATGCCTACTAGCTAAGAAGAGGCCATGCCACACTTGGAGAAGAGTGGGACTAGCCATGAATCTCTTGATAAAGAAACAACTTAACTTGAGCACATCAGAGGTTACACTGATCTCTCATTTGGATCCCACAGGTTATTGGGAATCGGAGGGGGGGGCAGAATTTCACAAGTCATTTGTACATTAGTACAGGGCCAATGTACATGTGACACATGTTTTTGTGCAACTGTGGATATGCCCCTCTCAAAAGCACAGCAGCAATAGTTGTAAGTCTCCAGAATTGCTTAGCTGTATCTCTTCAGTATCATAAAAAGTAGTTGACAGGTTTATTTAAGAAATATACTCGCCACCAAGTGCTAGCTATTGCTCTTTTGCCTTCTCTCACCTCCACCTGCCCAGGGCTGAGTATCCAGCCTTTACTCCATTTCGTCACTCCCAGTGTCACAGCATCCTCCGATATATATTTTGCTTTAGATAAAGCTGCCAAAGGACCTGAGAATGATGTGGCATAATCGTCAGAGGGTCAGATGTAGGACTGGAGAAACATGGGGTCAAATATCTGCTCAGCTATGAACCTTGCTGATTACCTGTCACTGTCTTTGAGCTTAACCAACCCAACAGTCGTGAGGACAAAGGTACGAGTAAAACATAAAGCTCTTAAGTACATAAAGGGTGCAACAGGTGGGTGAGAGCAAGGAGAACGTATTCCATGATAGCATTTGAAGGCTGCAGAACCCTTTCGCTTAATGTTCTTTAACTCTCAAGTATTTCAGCTTTCTTTTCTTATTCTTCCTTTTCCTTCTTTTCTCATATCCCGTTATGTCTAATCCATGTTCTCCTCCTTACTCCCCCAGTTACTAGATCAAGGATTTTGTACATCAGACAAAAATGTCTAGAAACACCAGGATTGGTGCTACCATTAAGCAGAGCAGAGCACTTAAAGCACTCTCTGGCCAGTTTGCAGTTTAATTGTGCAGACTACACATTGCCACCCCCAGCAAGCTGGGTACTCAGTTTACCAATCTCAGAAGGATGGAAGGCTGAGTGAACCTTAAGCCAGTTACCTAGAATTGAACCCAGGCCATGAGCAGAGTTTTGGCTGCAATATAACCACGAGGCTCCTAAGCAGAGGGAAGCAGCTGGCATAGGAAGCTGATAAGAGTGTCATAAAAAAAAGCAGCAGTTTCTTAGGTATTTCCTGTATGTATTTAATGCGAGCCAGGGGGAGGAGGATATGTGCTTGCAGGATTTAGTGTCTCCTACACCAAAATAACATGACAAGCTTTGGATAACTATACATCTTGACTTGTGGTGTGAGGACTGGGGAGCCACTCTAGGCTGATTCACTCTAGGCAGCAAAAAAAGTTATGGGCTGGCCCTTAGAAATAAAAGATGCAGGCTGTGCATCCAGCAGCTTTTGTATGGCACTGACAATATTAATACGTATAAATGCACCTTGAAGAAAACTTAGGTGAGCGCAGAAGCCTGTTGAGTTTTTCTCTCCCTGACCAGTAACAGCTTCAAAGGAATTTAGATCTGGACCTTAGTGCAGGGTCTGCTTTTTGTGTTGGATTTTTATTTACAGCCTCACATGCTCTCTGTAGTTTGAGTGACTGGGAGGGACTTTTCTGGTCTTGGGTGAAAAGTCCCTCCCGGTCACTGTGCTGCCTCTCATACACCCTGTCACTCTTGCCACCCGTGTCGGGAACTGAGGTCATGAAGCACCCATACATACCACGTCTAACTTGACAGTGTTAAAAATAGATTTCAGATGTGGGTCTCAACACTGAATGTGTTCCCTGAAGCAGAAAATCAGCCCTCTTTGGACAAGTTGCGCAGTACCCAAAGCCAGGCAATTTATTTTGGAACCTAAGTCAGGAAGCTCCTCCAGTGCTTTTCCCCATACGGGGCAGTAAAAATACAGTAGCGACTGAGTAATGTGAAAGGTACTGCCTCTTCTTGACGCCTGGAATCTGTCTACCTCAGGAGGCTCCTTGGCCTTGTCCAATAGCAGGAACTGTCCAGCTGCCCATCCTCAAAAAGAACATCCCTCCCTCTTGTTTTGTTAGCTGGTTATCAATCATAGATGTTTGCAATTGAACTTGGGCACAAGAATTGGGACTAATCATAACAATTGATTTTCATCTACCAAGTGTCTGTGAGAAAAGGCACATCTCCTTACTTGGGAATCAGGGCTGTTATGTCTTTTAGGGTCTAAGGGTATCCTGAGCAAAAGGCATGCGGATTGGACTGGCCTATCTATCTATCTATCTATCTATCTATCTATCTATCTATCTATCTATCTATCTATCTATCTATCTATCTATCTATCTATCTATCTATCTATCTATCTATCTATCTATCTATCTATCTAT